TCAAGTCATGTGGTATAGACCGGCCCGAATTATTGTTCAAATTGGTGGCATCGACATAACATCTATTACATTTCTATATGAATACGTCCAAAAAATGCATTTCCGATATCCTTACTACATGTAAAAGAGGGACGAAAGATACCAGAGGGACAGTCAAACTCTTAGATCGAAAACAAACTAACAACGCCATGGCCAAAAATAAAAAGACAAACAGACAAATAATAGTACAGATGACACAACATGTAAGCTGTATAAATGGTGTTTAAATCCTAAACACAATTCTAAAACAAGTTTCTTAAAAGCTGTGGACTGCTTCGCTCTATCCTAATTTAAGGTAATATGTGTGCATGTGGTTGTTGATTTAGCATTGGAAATGAGGTAATTTTAGATATTGATTGATATAAAATGGATGTCTTAGACTTGGAATATCAATTTTTGTAAATATATTAAGATGAACTTTTCTGAAATTTTAAACTAGCTGTTCAGTGTTTAGTTGTCAATGTGTTTTTGTGGAGTGTGGTTTTCTAGTTCTTTCAGCTGGTCATTGACTTGTGATTTTGATTACTAGTTCTGTTTATAATTTATTTAGATATATATGAATGTTTAGGTATATATGAATGTTTGGGTATCTTAATAACATATAATTGTAAACAGCAATAAATATTTAGTTTCAGTGAAAATGATGTTGTTCTACTTTAAGAGTGTGCGTTATACACCCATGCTTTTAAAATTTTGTTCACTTAACTTGTTGAAAATTAAAACATTTACAAGTAGACACGACTATGGAGGTGTGCCTAGATTGGCAGAAGTTATGAAATACAGATAATGCTTTTTTGTAAACATTGTATACGAACATTGTTTAGCAAAAACAAATCGTGCATATTGCAGATTAACAAAGAAAATAAACACGTATTAATAATTGATATTTCAATATTAAATTTCAGTATGCCATATATGCATAATAAAACGAACATGAATTAATGACAGTTGATCGGAAATGAAATACACATAGTTAATTTTCCGGCACGTACTTGATGTCTTATCCTGAGACGAGAAAAGTCTGTAATTCTTTATCTCATTTCCGCATCACAAAGCAACCAATCAGAATCTTTATGTGATAAGTAATTATTTCAAGATGGTGTGTACATCGACTGAAACTAATAGCTCCGCACCGTGATGCGAGGCAAACATATACATTGTTTGCGCACTTTTTTCAACATGTTTAATTTCGTAACATGTTTAGATGGAAGAAAGTGTTTATGATTGTGTTTAGGATCTTGTTTAGCTTAGAAATTAGTGCATGGTCTTGAAGTATACATTCTAGGTACTGACGTTGTTTATCATCTTAATTATGTGTTATAGTGTTCTTTTATTTGTCTTTGTAAACTATTTACTTTACTGTTTAGGCATTTTTACCTATTATGTCTGTTTGTTTTGTTCACACATTGTTGTCAATATAATGGAATTTTATACGACTACAAGTGAGAGGTTTATCTAGCTATAAAATCAGGTTTAATCCATCATTTTCTGCATAAGGAAATGCCTGTACCAAGTTAGGAATATGACAGTTGTTTTCCATTCGTTTGATGTGTTTGAGCTTTTAATTTTGCCATTTGATAAGGGACTTTCTGTTTTGAATTAGCTACGAGATATAGAATAAAATAAGATATAATTTTTTTTGTTCAATCATTAATGAAAGTGAAATAGTGATATAATAATTCGCTTTTAGCAGTCAGTTTGGTTCAAATTTTTCAAAATAAGCAAAGAAACATCGCTTATGAATGATTCACTTGCAAGTGAATAATTCGATCTCATTAAATCCGTATACATGTGAACTTCAATTGAACCCCTTAGCTAGAGATGGGTTACACATGAACTAGGCATGTTCAGCTATTTAAAAAAAGAAAAGAATGTCAACATTAGAAGTGAAACAAGGGTAAACCATTTGGTTGACTGATTCGATCTTCAAAAACTCATTCTTATACAGGTAAAAACAATTATTAACACATTTTTATACGACCGCAAAAAATTTGCCCCAACTGTTCAGGGTTCGACCACTGCGGTCGTATCATGCTGCGCTCAGCGAAGCATTTTATTTAAACCTATGTATGAAATCAAACAGACCTAGACAAATCCAATTGCACGAGTTCACTATCTATTTATATATATGTTTATGTTTATATCGGGTTATATGTCCATCGGCAGTCTTCGGAGGTCACCTCGATGGTTTAATTAGATGGCGTCTATACTAAAATATACACGAAATGCCGATATATATTATCGAGTCCGTTCATCGTAAATTGTTTATTTTAGACTTTTTATAATTTGGATATACGTTTTAGTAAGTTATAAATCTAATATGAGAATTTGAGTCAAATCAGTGAAGATGAATTTGACAGCTAATGCCCCTTTAAGTCCTAAAATCTTTTATTCTAAAACACATTTAAAAGTGTTTATATTCAAGACATGTGTACATTCAAAGTGTTTACTTAGAAATGTGTTTAGTCTAAACACGAGTTTTCGAGCATGTTAAATAGATTATCTCCTGAAAATAAAACTTACTTTAAGTAATTGAAAAGAAAAACAACAATTCGTAATTCACAACTAAACATTTTAACATTTTAACCTATAGAATGCAGTTCTTGGCCTTTTAATCTTTATACATAATTAGATAAAATTGCAATAACATTACATCATGATATAAGAGGGCGAAAAAAAGTTAGTATAAATATTGTTTGTCACGCCTCTACGAAGTAATGGGCTGTTTCCGGTGCGTCGGCGGCGTCAACATTTTTTTTTCTAAATGGGGACCACTTAAGATAAAAAGTAAAATCACAAAAATACTGAACTCCGAGGAAAATTCAAAACGGAAAGTCCCTAATAAAATGGCAAAATCATATGATAAAACACATCAAACGAATGGACAACAGCTGTCATAGTCCTGACTTGGTACAGGCATTTTCAAATGTAGAAAATGGTGGATTGAACCTGGTTTTATAGCGCTAAACCTCTCACTTGTATGACAGTCGCATCAAATTCCATTATGTTTACAACGATGTGTTTGACGCCAGAAAATGTAAACGTCACACAGGAAGAAATATAAAATAATTTTGTCGTTCAAAGTATTTTCAAAATTATAATTTTCTCATGGGGAATGGTGGTATACAGGGTTGAAAATCAAAAGTTTTTGTTAGAACTAATTTCAGAAAAAAGACCGAGATTTAAAATTATCCAGAAGTTCTTTAGAATTTTTAAGAATCCACATATTGTTAATTCCACTACGCGAGTAAAATAATGTTGTCGTTCAATGTATTTTCAAAATTATAATAGAACAATAACATAATGGTATTTTAATAGAACAGTAACACAATGGCGGGATCTTTAAAGTACAGAGCCACGTCATATGTACCAAAGAAACACAAAAAGTCACACGTACAAAACACACCAGCAAAAATGAAAGATAATACAAACACATTGACGGGATGTATAAGTACCGAGCCACGTCAAATGGATATCACAGAATTTAGACCAAACAGTAAAAGTAATATTAAGAATAGAACAAAAACAAATAAAAAGAACAATATAACACGTTATTAAGATGATAAACAACGTCAGTACGCAGTCAATGGATATTTGGTATGCATTAAATTTTGTATTAGCATTGGCATATTTTTATAAAGAAAATAAGGCCTGGCCCCCTGACGATATTTCATTGACTTCTAAAGTTTTGCATCGCTTACAAGGTCAGGAATATTGTTGTTTTCCATTCGTTTGGTGTGTCGATATTTTGTAGACAGTTGTATCAGCATTATCATATCCATTATCATTTCTAGAGGGTAATTCTTGGCCCTGCAACTTCAGTCATGTTTCATTGACTTTGAAAGTTTTGCATAATAGACGCAAGATAAAGTATTTTCCTTTTAATTTCAACAACTGCATTTAACTATTAAAATTACATATAGACATGACAGATGATACATATATCTGTGTCAACACTTTATTATGCCAGACTGACACTAGCTAGATATATTTTTCAGCTGATGTTGAAAGGTGGTAAATACTGTGCAATATTGATTTGTAAACCCAAAATTGATCGATGCGCAGGGAATATTGAACATCGTATCGCATTTCCATTAGAAAAAATATTGCAGTGGAAAATATTTTCTTAATTAAAGCATATCGCTATTCTATTAGATAAACATCGCATTCATTAAGAAAGAGATAGCAGTATTATCCTATTACAAGTGATTATGGCGTAGAGTAGAATGCAACCGAATAAGTTTAATGGCCATTCCACTGTCTTTGGTACATCATTGTCAAAGGATTTGGGCACCTCAAAATTATAGATCGCGCAAATGCAAATGCAAATTATTTGATGCAAATGCATATTTACTTGTATAAATACAGCATACTTGGAATAAAATATTCAAAATACATAGCAAATTGTATATACATTTGTCCTGTTAAATATGTCTATGTTTTAAAAAGAAAAATCAAGTACTTTCCGATGAATTTTGTTTTATTCCAACAAATGTCAACATTCGTCTGAGAATTCCCCACAATGATTTTCATTTACAAAAGAAAATATCGCTACTTCACATAAGAAACGGATTTCTCGATTCGCACTTTCCATAGACTGAGGACGGCATGCAATTATTAATTATGTTGGTGTCTTTGTTATTCATTATATCGTTATCTTAGAGTAGCAAAGTTCTATAAACTATTATTAAAACCTAAAAAATTATATAGTCCGGAGTCAAAAGTCGGTAATATGAAAATAGTCTATTGATTAATTGGTTGATTACCAAATAGTCATTAAAAAATCACAATTCGTCTTCCAATTTTGAAATTAAAGTAAAGTATCATTCACATATAATATGGTATCTCCATTAACTGGCGTATTGGAACGAATCTACAAGTCTGGCTTTTTACCCTTCTTAATTTACCTATTTTTTTCGTTAATGTTCTCTTTAAAATTAGAATTTTTCATTTGTTTTTAGAAGCTGCCTGTGCGCTTCCACAAGAGCTTCAGAACAAAGATTGGGACTACACTTACACAGCCGCGTCGACAGGAAATCAAATGACACAAACTTTAAGTTTTGGCACTACAACCATTCCAAAACCAGGCATCAGTTTAAATGCTCAAGGGTCAGATATAGATACTTGGACATGCATATCTGATTTATCCATCACTGATACCGAATCGGTTGTTGTATTTAAGTGAGTACTAATGAGGGTCTGGATGGTGGGGTCTTCATTTCTCTATTCTTTAAACATTTGGCAATTGTTCTCTATTTTTGTATTTTAGCGCTGAATTTTTTCAATTCTTATTTTTTTTTCCCATTTTCTCTATTATTTTGGTCCATTATTCCCTAGTCTGTGAATCCCATCCAGACCCTCACTAAGATATATTTTTTTTTTACATTTGATCATACAAATTTTTTTTTTTCATTTGCCACATCTCTTATATGCCTGTTCATAGTAAGGAGCATATAGTCCAGTAGTTGTCATGCTCGCTGTCTGTCGTAATTTTTTTTTCGCTTGATTTATGTATCTTAAATGAGGCCGTTTTCTTTTTTGAATTGTTTCAAAGTTGTATCAAAAGGGTCTTGAGATCTCTTAAAGTTTATCCCAATGTATGAGTTTTTAGTCATCGTTGAAGGACGTGTAGTAATCTGTATAGACAAAACTAATGTTTTGGCCTGAGATAAAAAAAGATATAATAACCTGAGATAACAAGGATATATAGCAATAAGGCTGAGAAACGTGGAAAATGCGAGGTTTTGACGTGATCATCATTATGTCAAGTCAATACACCATTGTCGTCTTCATACTGCAATCTAACACAATGTTATATCCATTTCGTGTTTATTTTTTTTGTTTTTTTTTAAACTGCTTTTAAGGTTGCATAATAGAAAAAAACCTCTCACTTTAAATTGTCACAGTAAAATTATTACGTGTCAAAGTATGTGTTGATGAATTTCAGAACAGAATATTATTAACAAGCAATGAACATAATGATTTATACAATTTTATATACAAATAGTAGTGTTACGTATGAACAAAATGGATATGATCTCTGCGCAAGAGATAGCTCTCTACAGTTAACTTTTAAATATTTAAACCGCTGGGCGAGCCCCGCGTTTACAATTTTATAATTTAACTGTCTCGAGTAGAGAAATATTGTATCATATTTTATGTAGTGGTAGAATTTATATATTATTCACGAAAAAACGACCATGCCCGATAACGTCATATAGAAAGAACATAAAGTCATATGTTTTGCAGATCATTTGAAAAGAAGGATCAGGTTTGTCGTCTAAAAATCATTAGAGAGACAAATACTACCTCGAAATATCGTGCAAAAGAAAGGCAAAAGATACCAAAGTGACATTCAAACTCATAAGTCAAAAATAAACTGACAACGCCATGGCTAAAAAGGATAAAGATCAAAAGACAAACAACAGTACACAAAACACAGATTAGAAATCTAAAGACTGGGCAACTATGAACCCCACCAAAAACCGGGGGTGATCTGAGGTGCTCCGGAAGGGTAAGCAGATCCTGCTCCACGATATTTCTCCTCTCTATACAGTTAAATTCTAAATATTCAAAATTGAACTTTCTTACATGGAGAATCGTATCACATTCGATGAAGTGGTATAATCTACATACAATGAAAGTTTGGTTCGTGTGGTCTTAGTTGTTCATTGGTAAAAATCTGATTATGATTATATAATTTTTTGCTTTCTTTTGATTTTGTGACGTCACATAAAAAGGTGGGTATAGCTGAAGACGTCACATAGAAAGGTCACATCTTTTTGTTGCTGATCATTGAAAAAAAGAGATAAAAATTGTCTTCATATCGTCTAAAAGTCATTAGAGAAACATATTCTTCCACCAAATTTTGTGTAATACAGTATATCTCTAATCTAGACAGTTAGTTATCAAATATTTAAAGCGCTCGCGTTTTAAATTTGAAAATACCGTCTCGAGTGTAAAAATATCGTATAACATTCGATGCAGTAGAATCTATATGTATAAAATATCTCACAGGCCACTTTTTGAAGTTATTCTTTTTCCATTTAAATGGCATACAACAGTGAATTGGAAGAAAAAAAACCAAAACAAACAAACTATAAAATCGTGTTGTTGTACATTCTTCTTTTCAATTATGCACGTCACAATGTAAAATTTTTCTATATTATGCATGAATGTATACTTTGGCAAAGAAACCACGAAATCAAATATCCACAATAATACAAATGTTCCTTAATTCACGAACATTGTTACCCACGAAAACAAATTAATCCACATTAGTCCACGTGAAGCAGATTTAAGCAAGTATAGCTCACCGTTAGGTCTTCATCAATGCAATATGTGCATACCGTATTATGAGCTATAACAGGTCCTGATAGGACAAACTAAAAATTCAAACTAAAAACCTAAGATGACCTGATTGATGACAAAACAATAAACGAAAAACAAAGATGACAGAGATGAATCAAAGACAACCACCGAATTACAGGCTTCTAGCTCGGAAAAGGCACACACAGAATGCGGCGGGGTTAAACATATTTGCGAGCGCTCAACCACCCCTAACCTGGGACTGTGGGGTAACAGCTAAATATAAGAACAAACATTAAACAACACTTGAAACCATTGGTTCATTAGCTTCTTTGTAAACAGAAAACGCAGGGCAAGTATTATTAAATTTATCAGCTTAATAGAATTTAGACAGATCTTTAAAAGGTAAGTAAGTGATGCCGATAGGAATACCTACACAATTTCAAAACACTTTATTGTCGAAACACACACGAATGTTTTAACGGAGAAAAAAAATACAGCTGCAATCATATTATCACAATTCTAGTAAGTATATCTTGCATATTTGCCTTTTTCGTTACAGAAGAAAGCTTTATATGAGTTGTAGCAAATAAATCCCTAATCAGAGTTTTCAAATGACCATTTAGTTAGGAGATAAATCTTTTGTTTGATAAGATTGTGTGGAAGTGTAGTGCACAGAGTCGAAACACAATAACTGTTAACCGAATTGAACTGACCATCAAAAGCTCATTTACCATCCAAAATATTCACAGAGTTTTTGACACTTTATAATAAATTCCATTATTTTCATATGATTTATTAAAAAAGTTAATACAAGTTTTTTAATAGAACTAATTCAAATCACAGAAACACATGCTCAAAACATCACAAACGAGTTCACAAAAAATATACAAAAAAAAATAAACTAATTGGTGTGGCAATTAAAACATCACAAAAACTGGGAGGTGCTCCAGGAGAGAAAAAAATCCATAACATTGCAGAAAAATTAAAGATAACTTCTATAGTTCTACTACAGCATCATATTGATTGAAAATGTATTATGATATAAACTACATGTAACCAATTAAGAATAGACATTTCATAACAACATCGCAATAAGATGAAACAACTTCATGTAAAACTTAACATTTAAATAGATAATGGTATCGTGTAAAGAGCACATATGCTATGTAATTTATACTTAAAAAATAATCACGTTGTTTATGATTAACTGTCGCAAAATGTTTTTGCTATACACTTTTGTATTGGTTGTAGAAGTGCCACCAGTTATAAACAATTCTTCAATCCGAACGAACAATGGTTATATCTTTGTATGAGATTCACAAAAGTCACAGATGACTTATTTTATTTTTATCTGATGTCGGGTAGGTATCTAATAGTTATTTCATTAACGAGAAACAAAGCAAACGAATTACAAATCGGAATGTAAAACTGGTATTTATTTTCACTTATTTTTAATTGAGTGCTGTCATTAAATTCGACTAATCACAAAATATCTCCACATTAAATAAGTGACACGGGTTATAAAGCACAGCTCATGAAGTCATCCCTGTTTGTAGAGGTTCGCTTTCTTTTGTTTTTTAGTCGATTTGCCTTGGGTTTAACCTTACAAAGTATATATGATATATTTATCGTATTCAAAGTAAGGTAAACCAAGTATAACATATCATCAGACTGAATGCATATTGTCAACAATTCGAGTTGCCACTTGTGGAAGAGAAGAATCTGCTTATTTGTGAAGACGATCAGAGTTCATTCAGTGTTTTGAAGGATTTTATGCTGCTTAATTCTTATTTTTTTAAGTAATGTTTTGATGACTGTTGTTATACTCCTTTGTTGTTTGTTCAGCTTTCCCTTCCTCAGTTAATTGTCCCGGACTCTATTAGGTAATTTATTATTGTTATAATTTGTATACTTTTAAATCAGTTAAACGGTTGTTTGCTGTACATTAAAAGAATATATCTCCATGTAAATTGATTTTCCACAGATCGATATTTTGTGTACTCAATCAAAAGGTAAACACCAACACAACACCATAACAACAGATGTTCAAGCGTCCGACCCGGGCTAGGAATGCCATCAATTGTTGTCTATAGTTACAATGTATATACTAAAAGAAACCTTAGTGTTGATTAATGACTTTCGGTAGTCACATGTTTGTCAGGGCTTGTCTATACAAAGATTTAGAACCTGTCTTAATGTATGACTTTCGTCGATTGTTGATGACTAGATGTTGACCATTTATTTTCTCTATGTCGTTGTCCAACCGACTTGACATGTACCTCCCATCTCCTTTTTCACAATAATTAGAAGACAGAAATGAAATATATGTCTATGAGAAAATTTTAAGAGGTATTAGAATATGAAAAAAAGTATAACCAAAATACCGAAATCAAAAAATCCAACGCTCGACTCTATCAACCAACGGAACGAATGGAAAACAACCGTCATATTCCTGACGTGTTACATGCATTTTTCAGAGAAAATGTTGGGTTAAACCTGGTTTTATAGATAGCCAAACCTCTAATTTATGACCGTGTTTATGGTTCCGTAGAAACTTATTCGTCAATAATAAAAAAAATCCGTACCAATCATTATGCTATCTGATATCATTTTAAGTCAAAATAAAATCAAAGTATTTGTTTTTATTTCAACTCATTTTAGACTACAGGAAGCATGCCCGGAATAACACGCCATGTATCGATAAATGAAGAGCATGGAGCAGATGCACGCGACACAACGAAACTCGTTAAATACTTAACAAATGACAAACAGACCAAGGCAGCAATGCTTTTATAGATAAAGTTATCTTCACATATGCTCCAATGTCTATAACGACGACAAACAGGGTTCATACTTTACAACAATATATATATATATATATACTCAAACACCAATACTCGATACAAACAATAAGTTTAGTTTGTAGAAAATGTTGCAAAAAATATTTCATTTCTGCTAGACTGAAGGTTGAGAATATCTGAGATTGAAAATTCAAAATTACAATTTGAGATTCGAAATTCGATAAATTGAAAAGCTTATTTTTAGTTTTAAGTTATGACATAATTTCAACTAAGCACACACGTTATGAAATAATTTCAACTAAAAACATATCTCTTTGTTTTTGTAGACGTCGACACCTTTGTAGTACCAAATGAAAGGGTATTCAATCCCGCATCACAACCGAATGAAAATGGTGATGTGTGTAGTACGTTTTGTTCTTACACAGAGCCAAAGCCAATGATTCGAACTCTTCGCAAACAAGGTAGACATTGCTTAACATTACATGGTTATCAATTATGCCGGATCATTGCTAGAATGCCTAAGAAAACGATTTTGCTCGTGTTTTTTTTTAAAAGAGGTACTTCAATATTGAAACACTAAGTTGCATGCAAATGAGTTATTCCTTTTGATATACAACATCTAAAAAAATATTTTACAAGAAAGCACAGTTAAATGAACTTCAATCATATCTAACATTTTTTCTTATGCATCAGATAAATTCCTTAGCTGGCAATGGCTGTAAAAAATTATGAAATAGCATTGAATAAAATTTGTATTATTTTCAGGCACCACTGATCTGTTGCCAAATGACGCAGCTCTGTGTGAACCTTGTGGCGATTCCTGTAAACAAAGTACGTTTTACGCCAAATAGTTTTCTTAAGCTATATAGGTCAAATATTGGATTTTGTTCAGGCGTATTGATTGCATTTCATTTTTTATGCAATTAAGATGATTTATGGCATGAAATGTTTCTGTAAAAGTCATATGTAGCACTTCCTTAAATATTCGCAACTAGTCAAATACTGTAATTTCCCTGAAAATAAGCCTTCAGACTATATACTATCCTCTGATGAATTGCCAAATTATTTTGTTCAACTGGCACCAGTAATTCATGACAAGTAAACTGCACAAGGCACAATGGAAAATGTCCGATACATAAACCAATCTTCAAGTTTTTCTTTATAACCGAAATGCCTGTTTGTCTGTAATAGATTTGTCTGAACATAAACTAGTGTTTTCTTGTTTTGATTTAGTGATACTGCGTGCTGAGCGAATAGACACCAAAATACAATTTCCCAGTCATTATTTGACCCGGCCGTGAGTCAATCCAACGATCCTCTAGATATGCAATTTTAGCGAGCAAGGTTATTTGACCACTGAGGTTGTTAGTGTTAAGATACGTTCTATACTGTCCGTCCAAATTTGCTAGAATTTCAGAGTATTTATTGTTTATTACATGCAAGGAAAACTCCAAAGAAGACTGACTATGTCGTAATTTAGTACAAGAATATATATATTTAAAAACTACAGATCTGGCACGAACATTCAATTGTTTTTTTTTCTTCCAGGTGATTTGAATAAAAACATTCTTCAACTATTTCCTTTCTAGTGCATTTGAATATTTTTTCAGATGACGATTATCACTAATACATAAACAAAAACGGATGTTTCTTCTCTTGGGGCGCTTTTAGTGTATCAGTTAGTAAGCCCTGTATCTTTGGGCGTGTTTGTTGTACCAAATTGTAAGCTCTGTATCCTTGATGCATTTTTAGAACAATTGGGTCAATGCCAACACCAGTGGTACGTTTCTTCATCGAGTCCATCACCAGTCCAGTAGTCAGCACTTTTGTGCTGACATGAAATATCATTGACGTGTTCATTCTCTATGAATTTATAATAAGTTGAATTATTCAAAATACTAAACTGTGGTTTTTCTCCTTATTTGTATTCAGCACACCTTATCCAAATTATTTCATTACTATTCTCCCATTATTGGAACGTCGCAATACATGGCTTCTTTTGACGATTTGGACGTATTCCTGTTTTATTAAACATTCAGTAACGATATCCTATCGAGGCACATATTCACATTCAAAGTCTTCATTCGTCATGACTTCATAACGAGTTCCTTATAATGAGAGTACTTTGTATAGATCATATTCATCGAGTAATACCCATCGTAGAATTTAATTACATTTGTTGAAAAAATATGTATATGAGTGAGATACACATTACAACAAGAAAGGTATCTTGGTAATATTCTTTGACAAAATGTCTTCTATATGGGACCGGTAAACTAGCCAAACATTTAAAAAAAAATTGCATCATACGAGTATACGTGTATACGTTTATGACGCCATTATGATATCACTGCTTAGCTTGTTCATTTTACTGTAGTATATACTAATATTTCTTCATGGACCTTTCTCCTTTCAAACAATATATCTAATTAGCAGTTTGAAAAGCAGCAAGCAACCTATTGTTTTTTAGGAAGTAAAAATCGAATTTTTTGTGAATAAGTTTATATAAAAATCTTAAGCTTTTGTTTTAAACAATATGACCAAGTCAATACAGACAACAAAATGATACAAAAACCAAACAAAAACTCCAACATTAAACATCTGTAAGCAAACAGGCACAATCACAGTGTCTTGACTATTAACTGGTTTCCTTTAGTACACAATAATAAATCCAGCTCTATGTTATCTTATTGCTTATTTTCTAAAACTGAATAACTTTTCTTCTTACAAGTGATCTTTCTATTCATTGGTCTTTGGTTTTATTCCATACTGCAATACATTGCTTACTAGAGAGTTGAATTTGCATTTTTGAATTCTTTATGTTTTCCTTTAATATGCTCTTGACATCGTTTTCGATATATTTTCACAACGCATAATAACATCCAACAAACAATTCGGAAAGGTGCATTTTGGAGCGTATAAGAATCACTATTTATTGTCCAACAGAAATTTACAATAAAACTGGGTTTTTTTTTAGAAATGAAGTTTCATTATTATAGTCTTTACGCAACTCACATATTTTTGATTTATTCAGATGTCGACAACTGTGACCCGAATCCTTGTTTACATGGTGGTCTTTGCACTCTGTCTAATGTTAATCCCAGTTACACTTGTTCTTGTGCTGCAGGATATGAAGGGCCCAACTGTGAAACTAGTAAGTTACGTTATGTGATTTGACAGAAACGACTGTCACAATTATTCGCCCTTAATTGGATGAATAAAATTTTTGGTAAAACCGACTTGACATGTACCTCCCATCTCCTTTTTCACAATAATTAGAAGACAGAAATGAAATATATGTCTATGAGAAAATTTTACGAGGTATTAGAATATGAAAAAAAGTATAACCAAAATACCGAAATCCAAGGTAAATTCAAAAACTGAAAAAAAAATCCAACGCTCGACTATATCAACCAACGGAACGAATGGAAAACAGCCGTCATATTCCTGACGTGTTACATGCATTTTTCAGAGAAAATGTTGGGTTAAACCTGGTTTTATAGATAGCCAAACCTCTAATTTATGACCGTGTTTATGGTTCCGTGGAAACGTATTCGTCAATAATAAAAAAAATCCGTACATATCATTATGCTATCTGATATCATTTTAAGTCAAAATAAAATCAAAGTATTTGTTTTTATTTCAACTCATTTTAGACTAACAGAAATTTACAATAAAACTGGGGTTTTTTTTAGAAAAGAAGTTTCATTATTATAGTCTTTACGCAACTCACATATTTTTGATTTATTCAGATGTCGACAACTGTGACCCGAATCCTTGTTTACATGGTGGTCTTTGCACTCTGTCTAATGTTAATCCCAGTTACACTTGTTCTTGTGCTGCAGGATATGAAGGGCCCAACTGTGAAACTAGTAAGTTACGTTATGTGATTTGACAGAAACGACTGTCACAATTATTCGCCCTTAATTGGAGGAATAAAATTTTTGGTAAAATAATTTATAATTAATAACCAAATTGAATGCTAAAGAACCAGCTTGTCTTTTGAAGACATAATGCTGTAATTATTTCAGTATAAGAACATAATTATAATATTAAAAAAATACTATATTGGTTATGTGAGAAATGAACTAAAATATTAATGGATTGTCTGAATCTCAACCCAACCAGTTTAATTGCACGAGTAAAGGATGTATCAAAAACAGTCAAGACCGTGACCGAATTTACGAATTCAAGTTAATTCGAGTAACCTTGTTAAATGCGATTTTGAGTTTCTAATGGATTAATTGGAACCAATATTTTGCAGGAAACGTAAGGGACAACTTAATGCGTTTTTGACTCAATGAAGTATCAATTTTTGAAAGTGTACCACATCTTAGAGAGTATCAGAATTGCGGAGCTTACCGATTTTTAAAAGCCATTAGGAAACGTATCTACGTTGAAGGCAATACTGGATTCCAAACTGATCAGATTGCAAAACATTGTTTTTGTATACACAACTTCGTGTGTTATTTAAACAATACTATTGAAATCTTTGTTTAAAGCCAACAAGTTCCTCCAAGCTATATAATAAATATAAGTATTTTTATTCCTTATTTTCCATTTTCCTCATCAGTACTAGTATGTGCTAAAACTTATTTTGTAGATTTCTTAAATTTGCACAAAATGTTATTACATTCAACAACACCCTGATTTATGAATGTGCCCATGAAATCTTCAACCTCTTTTTTTTAGGAAAGGGAATGGTTTTAAATCGGCAAATACTATTGGCATTTTTATCAGTGAAAGGATATTGATGATGAACTGTTCGTCGATAATTCCGAGTTAATGTAACATTTTAAATTCCTGATTTATATTGTGGAGTGCAAATTATCTGCAAATATATCAGCAAAGACCCATTGAATATTAAATAACGCATGCTTTATTATTCAAGTACAAATTCACTAGTATGCTTCGCAAATTTCAATCGGTCAATAACAAATATTTGTTTCATAAATACATAACTCTTAGCCAAGTGGCATTTACTAGTTTTCGTTGGCGAAAAAAATTGAATGTGGCAAACAAAATATTGTTTTGGCAAAAGAGGTTGCGAAAAAGAAAATTGACTCAGGGAAAACCCTGTATAGATCCATTGCGTGGTTTTAAAGTTACTGGTTGATTCATTGGAATTTAAATCATACAATTGAAGGAAAGTTATGAACAATACGAAAGTTTTTGGTAAACTCAACACCGAGAGGTCTTAAAGTGTCTGCAAGTTTACTTGGTCATACAGAGTTTATTTATGACGTAGGGTGGCCTTTAGAGAGCCCTACGTAATAAAGGGGAAATGTGATACACGTAAGATACGTTATACATTTTTGATTGAACAGAAACAACAATCATTCGCCCTTAATATGCTTAATTGGCTGTAAAACATTTTTGATAAAATGAATGATCAAAACGCTATTCTGTCTTTGAAGACTCAATGGTTCAATTAGTTCAGTACAATAACATAATTATATTTAACAAAATACACTATTGATTTAATGAAAAAAAAAACAATAATATTTATGTATCTTTTAATTCACAACCCAACCAGTTTAATTACTGGAGTGAAGGATGTATCAAAAACAGTAAAGACCGTGACCAAATTTACGAATTAAAGCAAATGCAAGTAACATTGTTGAATACAATTCACAGTGTATGATCTGCGGACGTTACTGAGTTTTAAAGGCTATAAGAAAAAGAATATTTGTCAAAGGCAAACATGTTCTGTTAGAGAAAGATGTAAAAACAAGTTTTATAACAAGCCACGTAGCTTATGAGTCAAAGGGCAAAATAATCATAGATCAATTTCGTTTTTATCAAACGCAATTCAAAGTTATAGATATATAAACATTCCAAATTGACATTCCATGACAAAATCTATGTTAACTTTGTGAAATTCGGAAAAAAATGTGTACAATTGTCATAAAACTTGATATACATACAATATAAAATTTAAAATTGATTTCACCATGTAAATTTGCCCTAAAAATTTATATTTGTAAAGGGATCACACATTTTCAGATAGATGTTTTTTTTCTATAATTTCTATGAATATTGATACAAGATATTATCTTATAATAATATGTAATCCGAACTTGAATGCTTATCTACAGTTCATCCGTTTAACCTAATGTTCGAATTGGCGTCCATTATACATACAGAAGTCGTATTCTGCTCTGATTAAAGCAAACTTGACATTTACTTGGCATATCCTGAACGTTTTTCCTGCTGTCAAGAATTGACCGAAATTGAAACCCAATCAAATGTTTTGTTTTATATTTGTATCAGAAGTAAATATTTTGTTTGTACCTCTGACAAAATGTGCAGGTGGAGACTTTCGTGACATCGTTAGTTATCTAGTGTCAATAGTGTTCCATGTTGGATGAAAACATTAGTTATTTATAGAAAAGACAAATAAATAGCATGCATAAAGTTATACAAATTATTTCTCTTTATTGAAAAGGTGATGGTTTCTTGTGTTCACTAGCAAGAGTGTATTCTATAAAGTGTTGATCAACTATAATCATAAACATTTCAACAGCTTTCTTGGTTAGATCTCCTTCTTAAAAGATGTCGATTCCACTTAATTTTGTAAAGTGTATCATAAGAAGTTAAACAATAATGCCCAATCCACTTGACAATGACATGAACCAACAACTTTAAATAAAATTGAAACGATATTTCATGGGATGAAAAACTAAATCGTTAAATGCCTAGAATCTAAGGTAAGACTAATGGAGATACTAAGATCGTATGCGTTAACAACGTTTTCAATTCACCCAAGCATAACAATCATATTCATTACGTATGGTATATGTTGCTTATCTCCATTTCGAACAGAAACATATCTACGTCAATTACAATCCTATTTTTCCCCAAGCTGGCAAGACGTTTACAACGTCATACTTTTATACACTACATTGTCTACTTGTGAGCTAAATCAAACATTGATGCCGCCTTATTTTGCATACATGTTTCTAACAGCTATCTGTTTGAAGAAAAAAAAAATGAATGCAGTGTAAAGTCCCCCCCAAACCCTCCCCCTACAAAATTTTCGAATGACCGCTTTTGCGGTTTCGTTATTTTTTTGCGATGTTAAAAAATATTCAACAACCAATTGAAAAAAAAACGCATTTTTTTAAGCGTATTCAAAACACTAATTACTGTCTAACAGAGATTCTTCATAATAGTTCATACGCAGCTTACATAATTTTGATTTATTCAGATATCGACGACTGTACCCCGAATCCTTGTTTAAATGGTGGCCAATGCTCTGACGATATTGCCAGTTACACTTGTTCTTGTGCTGCAGGATATAAAGGGAACAACTGTGATCAAAGTAAGAAATAATATACATTTTTTATCAAACAAAAACGACAATCATTCGCCCATAAAATGCTTAATTGGCTGTAAAACATTTTTGATAAAATAAATGATCAAAAACCAATTTTGTCTTTTGAAGACTTAATGAAGCAATTATTTCAGTATAATAACATAATTATATGATTACGCCACAATATATTGATTCAATACAAAACAAATAATTATATTAATGTATGCACTTGTTTACAACCAAACAAGTTTAATTGCGGGAGTTAAGGATGTATCAAAAGCAATCAAGACCGTGACCAAATTCACATAAATTGTAGCGTTTATGAATTTCGGACGTTACTGGGCTCTAAAGGAGATAAAAAAAAAGATCTTTATCGAAAGCAATACTGTTATTTAAGAGAAAAAAGTGAAAGAACTTTTATAACAAGCCACGTAGCCTTTGAGTGAAAAGGCAAATAAGTTATAGATTTATAGCGTTTTTTAGAACTCGATTTCAAAGTAAAAAATATATAAACCATTCCAAAATGATTTTTCATGACAAAATTTATTTTTGTGAAATTCGAAAAAAATTATTGTACATACTAAGCTTTTTTTCCAAGATCTAAAATTGTGATAACTTTTTTTTGTGTAATAACATTTGATATTGTCTGAAATTGAAATCCTATCAAATGTTTTGTTTTATATTTGTATCAGAATTGAATATTTTGTTTGTACCTTTGACAAAATGTGCAAGTGGCGACCTTCGTGACATCTTCAGTTATCTAGTGTCAATAATGTTCCATGTTGGGTGAAAACAACGAGTATATTCTATAAAGTGTTGATAAACTATAATCATGGACAATTGCACAGCTTTCTTTGTTAGATCTCTTACTTTAAGGATATCTATTCTACTTAATTTTGTAAACCCTATCATAAGAAGTTAAAAATAATGTCCAATCCATTTGACAATGGTCCAATAACTTTGGAATACAAATGAAACGATATTTCGTGAGATAAAAGAAAAAATCTTTAGATGCCTTGAATGTAAGTTAAGACTGATTGAAATTTTCATATTGTATGCGTTAACCTCTTTTTCAATTCACCTGACCATAAGAATTATATTCATTACGTATGGTATCGGTTCTTAATCTCCATTTCGAACAGAAACATATTTACGTCAATTACGATCCTATTTTTCTCCAAGCTGGCAAGACTTTTACAATGTAATTTTTATACACTACATTGTCTATTTGTGAGCTTAATCAAACATTGATAAAGCCTTATTCTGCATGGATGTTTCTAACAGCTATCTGTTTGAAGAAAAAAAAATGAACGCGGTTTAAAGTTCCCCCACCCCCTCCTACAAAATGTTCGGATGACCGCTTTTGCGGTTTCGTTATTTTTTGCAATGTAAACATACATTCAACAAACAATTGAAAAATACACATTTTTAAGCGTATTCAAAACACTAATTACTGTCTAACAGAGATTCTTCATAATAGTTCATACGCAGCTTACATAATTTTGATTTATTCAGATATCGACGACTGTACCCCGAATCCTTGTTTAAATGGTGGCCAATGCTCTGACGATATTGCCAGTTACACTTGTTCTTGTGCTGCAGGATATAAAGGGAACAACTGTGATCAAAGTAAGAAATAATATACATTTTTTATCAAACAAAAACGACAATCATTCGCCCATAAAATGCTTAATTGGCTGTAAAACATTTTTGATAAAATAAATGATCAAAAACCAATTTTGTCTTTTGAAGACTTAATGAAGCAATTATTTCAGTATAATAACATAATTATATGATTACGCCACAATATATTGATTCAATACAAAACAAATAATTATATTAATGTATGCACTTGTTTACAACCAAACAAGTTTAATTGCGGGAGTTAAGGATGTATCAAAAGCAATCAAGACCGTGACCAAATTCACATAAATTGTAGCGTTTATGAATTTCGGACGTTACTGGGCTCTAAAGGAGATAAAAAAAAAAGATCTTTATCGAAAGCAATACTGTTATTTAAGAGAAAAAAGTGAAAGAACTTTTATAACAAGCCACGTAGCCTTTGAGTGAAAAGGCAAATAAGTTATAGATTTATAGCGTTTTTTAGAACTCGATTTCAAAGTAAAAAATATATAAACCATTCCAAAATGATTTTTCATGACAAAATTTATTTTTGTGAAATTCGAAAAAAATTATTGTACATACTAAGCTTTTTTTCCAAGATCTAAAATTGTGATAACTTTTTTTTGTGTAATAACATTTGATATTGTCTGAAATTGAAATCCTATCAAATGTTTTGTTTTATATTTGTATCAGAATTGAATATTTTGTTTGTACCTTTGACAAAATGTGCAAGTGGCGACCTTCGTGACATCTTCAGTTATCTAGTGTCAATAATGTTCCATGTTGGGTGAAAACAACGAGTATATTCTATAAAGTGTTGATAAACTATAATCATGGACAATTGCACAGCTTTCTTTGTTAGATCTCTTACTTTAAGGATATCTATTCTACTTAATTTTGTAAACCCTATCATAAGAAGTTAAAAATAATGTCCAATCCATTTGACAATGGTCCAATAACTTTGGAATACAAATGAAACGATATTTCGTGAGATAAAAGAAAAAATCTTTAGATGCCTTGAATGTAAGTTAAGACTGATTGAAATTTTCATATTGTATGCGTTAACCTCTTTTTCAATTCACCTGACCATAAGAATTATATTCATTACGTATGGTATCGGTTCTTAATCTCCATTTCGAACAGAAACATATTTACGTCAATTACGATCCTATTTTTCTCCAAGCTGGCAAGACTTTTACAATGTAATTTTTATACACTACATTGTCTATTTGTGAGCTTAATCAAACATTGATAAAGCCTTATTCTGCATGGATGTTTCTAACAGCTATCTGTTTGAAGAAAAAAAAATGAACGCGGTTTAAAGTTCCCCCACCCCCTCCTACAAAATGTTCGGATGACCGCTTTTGCGGTTTCGTTATTTTTTGCAATGTAAACATACATTCAACAAACAATTGAAAAATACACATTTTTAAGCGTATTCAAAACACTAATTACTGTCTAACAGAGATTCTTCATAATAGTTCATACGCAGCTTACATAATTTTGATTTATTCAGATATCGACGACTGTACCCCGAATCCTTGTTTAAATGGTGGCCAATGCTCTGACGATATTGCCAGTTACACTTGTTCTTGTGCTGCAGGATATAAAGGGAACAACTGTGATCAAAGTAAGAAATAATATACATTTTTTATCAAACAAAAACGACAATCATTCGCCCATAAAATGCTTAATTGGCTGTAAAACATTTTTGATAAAATAAATGATCAAAAACCAATTTTGTCTTTTGAAGACTTAATGAAGCAATTATTTCAGTATAATAACATAATTATATGATTGCGCCACAATATATTGATTCAATACAAAACAAATAATTATATTAATGTATGCACTTGTTTTCAACCAAACAAGTTTAATTGCGGGAGTTAAGGATGTATCAAAAACAATCAAGACCGTGACCAAATTCACATGCATTGTAGCGTTTATGAATTTCGGACGTTAGTGAGCTCTAAAGGAGATAAGATAAAAGGATCTTTATCGAAAGCAATACTGTTATTTAAGAGAAAAATGTGAAAGAAGTTTTATAACAAACCACGTAGCCTTTGAGTCAAAGGGCAAATTAGTAATAGATTTAATGCGTTTTTTAAAACGCGATGTCAAGGTAAAAGATATATTAACCATTCCAAAGTGACTTCTCATAACAAATTTTTTTTTTGAAACTCGAAAAAAAGTACATAATAAGCTTTCTGTGTAATAACATTTGATATATATATACTGTACATTTAGAAATAATTGCGATGTATTTATTAATGAGAATAATGCGACTGGGTAAGTATCGCAATACTAAGAACTCGCATTCTGATATATGATACATATATCTGTATACAGATTTTACCTGAAATCGCAATAATTAAACTCTCAAGTTTGTCCATTCTTCAACAATCGCAATAATAAATGCACGCTATTATTAATAATAAATGCACGCAATTATTTCTGAATTTACAGTATATATACAATGTATCATTTCAAATTGTTTCATGTGCTAAATTTTTACTTTTTCCTGCTCTCAAAATTGACTGAAATTGAAACCCTATCAAATGTTTTGTTTTATATTTGTATCAGAATTGAATATTTTGTTTGTACTTCTGACAAAATGTGCAAGTTGCGACCTTCGTGACATCTTCAGTTATCTAATGTCAATAGTGTTCCATGTTGGGTGAAAACATCAAGTATATTCTATAAAATGTGGATAAACTATAATCATGAACAATTCGACAGCTTTCTTGGTTAGATTTCTTACTTTAAGGATATCTATTCTACTTAATTTTGAAAACCGTATCATAAGAAGTTCAACAAAAATGTCCAATCCACTTGACCATGATAGAAACCAATAACTTTGGAATAAAAATGAAACGATATATCGTGAGATAAAAGAAAAAATCTTGACATGCCTAGAATGTAAGTTCAGACTAATAGAGATACTAAGATTGTATGCTGTTAACCACTTTTTCAATTCACCTGATCCTAACAAATTTATTCATAAACGTATGGTATCGGATTGGAAACAGGAACAGATCTACGTCAATTACAAACTTATTTTCTCCAAGCTGGGCAGACTTTTACAACATCATTGTTATATAGACTACATTGTCTACTTGTGGGCTTTATCAAACATTGATTCCGTCTCAGTTTACATATCTGTTTCTAAATGGCATCTGTACGAAGAAAAAAATTGAATATAGTTTTAAGTCCCATCCCCCCCCCCCCCCTTCCCCCCCTTCCAATTGTTCGGAAGAACGTTTTTGCGGTTTCGTTATATGTTTGCAATGTAAAGTAATATTACAACAAACAATTGAGAGACGCGCATTTTAGATAGTATTCAAAACACTAATTACTGTCAATTTGAGAAATTTGAAAAAAAAACTGCTTGCATTAGAAAAAAAGTTTCTTCGTAATAGTTCATACGTAGCTCACATAATTTTGATTTATTCAGATATCGACGACTGTACCCCGAATCCTTGTTTAAATGGTGGCCAATGCTCTGACGGTGTTCTAAGTTACACTTGTTCTTGCGTTGCAGGATATGGAGGGAAAAACTGTGATCGAAGTAAGCAATATTATACATTTTTGAAAAAAAAACAGAAACGACAACAATTCGCCCTTAACATGTTTAATCAGGAACCTGATGTTCAGTGATATCGTTTGTTGATGTGGTCCATAAGTGTTTATCGTTTCTCCTGTTTTAAATAGATTAGACCGTTGGTTTTCCTGTTTGAATGGTTTTACACTAGTCATTTTGGGGGCCCTTTATAGCTAGCTGTTCGGTGTGAGCCAGGGCTCCGTGTTGAAGGCTTTATTTTGACCTATAATGGTTTACTTTTACAAATTGTGACTTGGATGAAGAGTTGTCTCATTGGCACTAATATCACATCTTCGTAAATCTATTAGTTGGCTGTGTAACATTTTTGATAAAATAAATGATAAAAAAACCATTTCGTCTTTTGAAGAGTTAATGAGGCAATTATTTCAGTATGATAACATAATTATATTATAACGAAACAATATATTGATTCAATACAAAACGAATTATAATATTAATGTATCCACTTATTTTCAACCAAACCAGTTAAATTGCGGGAGTTAAGGATGTATCAAAAACTACAAAGACCGTGACCAAATTCAAGAATCAAATGAAATGCTAGTTACATTGGTAAATACAATTGAGAGTTTATGAATTGCGGACGTTACTGAGTAAAGGCAACAAGAAAAAGGATCTTTATCAAAGCCAAACGTGATGAAGACAAAATCTTTCAATCAGTTTAATTGAGGTATGGAGCTGGCATGTCAGTAACTACTGGTAGCCCTTTGGTAATTTATGTATCATTGTCATTTTGCGTAGTTTCTATTGTCACCTATTCTGACATCGGACTCGGACTTCTTTTGAACTGAGTTTTACTGTGCGTATTACTGTGTGCTTGTTTATTCTACATTGATAAGAGGTATAGGAGGAGGGTTGAGATCTCACAAAACATGTTTAACCCCGCCGCATGTTTGCGCCTGTCCCAAGTCAGGAGCTTCTATTAATCTTGTTTGTCTTTTTAATATTAGTTCATTTATATGTTTTGGAGTTTAGTGTGACGTCCATTTTCACTGAACTAGTACACATTTTTGTTTAGAAGCCAGCTGAAGCCCGACTCCGGGTGCGGGATATTTCTAAAGATATATCTAGTTGTTCCATGTTCGGTTTAAATATCAATTATTTATAGCTGAAACAAATAAATAGTATGCATAATTGTAAAAGAGTTGTTTCCCTTTATTGAAAAGGTAATGGTTAAAAGTGTTCATTTCAAGATTGTATTCTATAAAGTGTTGATATACTCTAATCTTGAACACTTTAATAAATGTGTTGGTTAGATCTTTTCGTTTAAAGATGTTTATTCAAATTAGCACCTGCCTCATATTATAAATAGTATTAATGCATTATTAAGATATGAATGAAATGTCGTTTGTTGAATATCTAACGTGGTAACTTAGTAGTTTTCCGGATAGTTATGCAAAGGACAATGCATGATTCTTAAAATTCCAATGAGTGGTTTCGATAGAAATCAAATGTATGGTCTTGTTTTAGTTTGCATAATAATAACATCAATTCAATATAAATTAGAAAAGGATTTTCAATTAAAAAATAATCAAACGGAAACATAGATCGAATAACACCTATTGTGTGGGGACGTCACGCACATTAAGAGGTACTAATGTTGTTAGAGAAAACCAGTATTCAAGCATTAGTAATAAAGATGCACAAAGATCTGCATATTATGTAAATGTAGAATTGAACACAGAGAGTATACAAATAACACATGGATAATCCAAAACCATGTAGCAACAATAATTACACCCCAGTTCTATTGTTATACTTCATAGTTTCTATTTCTGAAACAAGTGTAAAATGAATAGATCTATTGTTACGAATAACAAAGGATTTTGACCACAGGGTGTGACGAGCGGGGTTTCTGGAAACCCCTGCTTCTACATCCCGCAAACAAAGTCCATTGTTATTCGTAACAATAGAAATTGATTATTTTTTAAATAGCATGAACATAAGAAATTACTAATAGTGTTCACTACAAATTGTTTCAAGATATTGAAAAACACATTTTAGGAAATTCCAATAGCGAAAAAAAGAATTAAGCATCTATTTTGAATACAAAAATACTCCTTTAAATACTCCTTTGCTTGAAGTAATCTTTTTTTATCCCAGTCATATGTCTCTATTCTAAAGCATTGGTCTTTACAAAAAATGGGGATTCTAACTCCCGGGATCCCCCCCCCCCCCCCCCCCCCCCCCCCCCCGGTTACCCATTGGCCGATCTGGGGTGGGTTTCCGCGGTTTGGACCCAAAAAGATCAATGCATTTGAATGGTTGGACCCCCCTTTTCTGTTGAGTTGGGAACCCCCAACTGGATCAGCCCCTGTTTGCCCCCCAAAAAGGGAGTTCCTAAATATTAAATCTGTATCTTTGTATGTTGAGCGTGTCTGGTAGTCGAGTCACACCTATCCCTTAGTATGTCCGAATATGAATGTTTGTTTATTCTCGAGAAGGGGGGGGGGGTTATAAAACCATAATATATACAATACAGTTGACCCTCTGATCCATATTAGCACAGGATTTAACGGGAATATGCAAAACAACTTGACATTTGTAAAATATACTCACTTGTCAAAGTTTGAACGAAGGTAACCAAAGAAAGGTTACTAGTGGGGTTTCATGTAATAAAAAAAATTTCTTATAAATCATGGTTTGGTATTGTCAATAAATATGCTATCGGTTTTTTTATTCATTTAATAATCAATGTTAACAAATATAGGGTTTAGAATGGGGTGTAAGTTAGTTATACACCTCGGGATACGGTGTGTCTGGATAAGAATTGATGAGTTGATTAAACATTAATATACATCAGCTGCCAACTACTCAGTAATAGCTTTTAATTTATTATTGTTATCATCTTTTATCTGCAGTTGCTTGTACAGTTCCGGGAATGGTGCAGTTTGCAACAGAACCTACCGACAAAAGCTTCAATAATATGGAAACGATAACTTACTCTTGTATCACAGGATATGAAGTCCAATCTGGTAACCTTGAACGTTCATGTCAAGCTGATGGAACATGGAGTGGACATCCTCCAGTTTGTAGTAAGTATTATAAACTTTAATTTAACAACTATTTGTATCTGTTTATGTAACCTCATTTAATAAAGATATCGATGAACAGAAAGTAGGGTACCCATTTACGAGACAGCAAGAAAAGACATACATCTTTCACGAAGATTTTCTTCAGCAGAGGAAATTCAATTAAGGAAATTCAAACCAAAGTGATATACTGAAAATTAGATATTCACAACAACTAAGGTCAACCAATACAACATACTACGAATTAAACTTATTATAAAAGATCGTAAAAAGCATATAATAAAACGATTAAATGCTTAACAATCACGTACCTCTATAATGACACGATTAAATCATTATTCTTTCACAGTTTCAAATGACAAGATGTAATAAAACCAGTTCTTTCGCGTACAAACTGCATTATTTTGTTTATGATCTTATGGTCAAGTTGAGTGTAAAGGAAGGCATGATATAAAGTGTGTTCGCATTTCAGTTTTGTTTTGATACCTTGATTTGTCTTCTTAATCGATTTATAAGATTCAAATATCGATGGATTACTGTTGCCTATGTTAATGTGAATAATTTCAGAATGTGCAGTTGTGTCAATCCTATATTTTTTATCATTTTTTCTTAAAATGTCCTGTACCAAGTCAAGAATACGGCAGTTGTTATCAAATAGTCCGTTTCTATGTATGTTGGCGTTTATTTATTGCAGTTCAGAGTTTCTGTTGTTCCGTCGTTTTCCTCTTATGGTGGTTGTGTTTCTCTCGGTTTAAGTGTGTAACCCGGATTTGTTTTCTCTTAATCGATTTATGACTTTTGGAACAGCGGTATACTACTATTGCCTTTATTCATTTCACTTTGAAATTTGAAGGTTGATATTTTTAGATATTTGAATAGGTCAATAAAACCTAAATCAGTGAACAGTCGTTTCTTTTGATATAAGCAGTGCGTTCTGTGGTGGGATTGTGATACAGACAAAACATGTACAAATCTGGTTATACAGTTTTTAACAACTGACAAATTTTCATAAATTAAGGTTAAATGATCCTTCTAAAATACACCCTTATTAAAATTACCACGTATTATTCTGCCAAATCATATCCAAGCTTTATTAGTAGATATGAAGAAAAACAAAAATGCTATCTAATCTATTTATAAGCTTACTTTTATAAAGTGTCCAACAGTTATGTTTTTTCAACATGATTTGCGATGTGAATAGTGCGTCCATAGACTTTTACATTTACATTTCTGGAAAAGGGATAGAGACACTTTGTTGTACGTTAATGAGAAAATCATTTGAAAAACCTGGGACTTCAAAAACATTATATCGTATAGCATTTTTCTGTTGATAACATCGCATGCATGTTTAAAAGTCACAGGACAGATTGCTTTCAATTCTTTTTTACTCTAAAGTTGCATATGTCAACATGCTTCCTCACGCAAAGGTTAATGGAATTACTATAACACCATAAGAGAGTACATCAAAACATCTGACCCCATCTATATATCAAAGGTGCACATAAAAAAAAATCGAATTACACACGGAACAGATTGATAGCCTGATTTGGTATAGTCACTTAAGGTGCAATCATGTTTCATAACACCTAGTTAAACACTTTTTGTCCATAACTTGGGTAAGATAAGAGTATTGATTTTGGGTCACTTTGTTAAAGTTTAAAACTGAAGCAGAAGTTATTAAATTGATATTTATGCAAATTTACGGATTCCAAGCATTTGACATAAAATATCAGCAAACTTATTCTACAAAAACAAAAATAAAATGTGTCCAACAACTAACTGAAAAATTGTTTCTTCTACAAATTAATACTGATTCCAAAATAACACGCATTGTGTTTCTGTATTATTCAATTCTAGAATTTTCTTTTAACGTAATTGTCTAGTACTTTGTGCATATTTACAGCGATTAAAATGATTGTATATTTCACAAAACAGTTGATGCAATTCTTTTACATCTTTGCAATCTTGTACATTTAGCATATTTCGACATGCAACAATAGCAGCTGATGTAAATCGGTATGCCTTGATTCTTCTGGATAATAAGAATATGTTTACTTTGAACGTTCATCAACTTAAACAATAATGAATTTAATCGATTCTGTTTCATTTATTCATAGAAATGACCGTCGACTATTTTTGTGGTACTCTTTTGGAAAAATTGGAAAACGAAAAAAACTCCAAGAAAGGATGGAACGAAAATTCTGAAGATAGCTCTGAGAAAGATACCCGCGGAAAAACCAAAGGCAAATACTGGAACAGAAAGAAAGGAAGACGATGTGGTTACTACAAGGCACTCGAAGCTTTGATAATAGAAACATGTCTCCTATCATAATCGCCAGTTTCTGTTGATCCAAATTTTATGTATAACCTCCTTACCAATGTTACATATAACTTTTCAAAAGCGTTACGATTGAAAAAGAACTATGAACAAACCAGACCATTTAAAATATTATTCTTCATTGAAAAATATTTATGTAAATTAGAAAATTTTATACATGATTACACTTTATACATTGTCTAGATTTGTCTCAAACTACGTCATCGCATGTGAATTACAGGATACGTCTGAAACATTCAAAATTGCACACACATGATAGAGAAGCTAATCCAGAAAAAAAGGAAAGAAAAAAAAAAGCTGACATAATTTTTTAACTTCATTTTCGGCTCTATTTATCTCTAAACTATTCTTAGTTTGGTGGCTATGATTGCGGCTTAATAAGCTCAATTGGTTAAGCCTTATGGTGTAATACGTACAATTCACAGTACGTTACATCCGGTTGCATACGAAAAAGGGTCGAAAAGAAATATTCCCTTGAATTTAACAGTTGTAGGAAATTAATCCTACATTTCATTGCAGTAAACAATTTCTGTGTCATAAACATATATCTTGGGTGTTTTAAAGCATCATTCTTTTTTTATTTGGTGTCTCCATAGAATATTTTGAAAACTTGAGGTTACATGGTTACTAAAGCATGTACACAGGATAAAAGGGGGTGAAAAATTGATTGGTGAACTTCCAGTGATGGTTATTTTCTTATATGCAATGAAATGTTATGTCAATTTTTTTTCTGTAGTACTGGTCAGGATAAAACTTTACTCATGCTAAGTATTTCTTTAATTGAAACAAAGATAAATACTGCACAATTTTTTGAAAAGTGCAAATCTAACAAAGACTAATTGAGGAAAAAACAATGGTGATATTACGCCTATTATAGGAGACATTCACCTTTGACCTTGTATGTACTCTTATTTTTTAAAATTTCATGCTATTTAAGTGAAATATTACTAAAATGAAATGTTCTGAGTGGGTTGAGTCTCAAACACACATTTTAAAAGATAAAAGCCTTGAAATAGGACACTTCCATGAATATAAGTAGTCAGAACAAGCCATACTTAGTGTTTTGGGGAGCTTTTTCTGACTTTTTTTCCTTATTTCTTATATTTTACTATAAAATAAAACGTTTTCCTAAGTAATACTTTAATAAATATACAATTATAAGTAAATGAAATTATTTTTGAAGCAGTAACAACAAACAATTCACTTAAAGGGAAGCTTTTTTATGTCTCTCCTCTGATGCACGGCTTAAATTTTAGTTATACGTAAGGATTTGCTGAAACCTCCATGGAGTCAGTAAGCTTGTATATGGATAGTTCATTCAGCTTGAATACTTCAATTACTCATTCTTTTCACATTTTTTGCATAAATGTGTGAAAGTTACCAACAAATTTTGATTTATTTTCCTAAAACGTTGAAATTTTGAGGAAATGAGAGGTATAAATGAACCAAAAGGGACCTTATAATGAGGACAAAGAGGTCCATTAGTAGTATTTATCATCATAGAGTCATCTTTTGTGTCATATTCAACTGTTTGTAGGCAGATGAGATAAATATTTGATCATTTATTGGTCCACACTATTTTCTATTATGATGCGGCTTGATTTGGATTTTTCGAAGAAATTTAGCTCGAATCGCTGTAGATGTCGTCTTACATTATACTAGATTTGTCTCAATCTTTTGAACTGATTAAGGAAACACTTGACAGTAATGCTTGAAATAACCAGTATTACAAAGGAACAAAATTACATTAAGTTTATTCAACGAAAAAGACTTCTTTAGGTGTAATACCACCAAATCACAGTACGTGATCACATCCGAATGCAGGAAAACAGGAAAAATAGGAAAAAATGGGTGATTGGTTAACTTCCAGTGATGGTTATTTTCTAATATGCAATGAAATGTTATGTGAGATGTTGTCTGTAGTACTGGACAGGATAAAATTTTTCTCATGCCAAGTCTTTCTTTATTTGAAACAAAGATAAATTCTGCACAATTTTTTGAAAAGTGCAAATTTAACAAAGACTTATAGGGGAAAACAATGGTGGTATTACACCTGATGGGTATATTTCCAATTGTCGTTATCATAATGCTTTCTTCAATCGCTCTATTGTGACATTACAATATAAGATTTATTTACCGAATGTGCGACACGACGGGTGCCACATAAGGTACAGGAACTGCTTATTCAGGCATCTGATTAAAATCAGGTTTTCAATGGGGTTTGTGTTTTTTTAATCGTCTGTTTTCTGTTGAGCGCTTTGTTATTCTTGTGTTATTGTTAATCGTCTTTTCGCTGCTTTTTAACAATTTTTTATATGGAATTATGTTTTGCAATTACCCCCTTGGTTTCCTTTTGTCGAGACTCTAGTCTAAGTAAAAAATCAAAACAACGCTCAATTTATGTCATGCATCCGAGGGGCTTTAACTGGAGTTGCCTAAGTAACCATATGTTTCCCCTCCCTGTAAGGTTTCTACGGCACCCTTTTTACCAACAGATGGAAAGACAGGATACATGTTCCAATGTGTATCTGTTAACCATCACTTAGTGGTTGTCGTTGGTTGAGTTGGTTGCTGTCTGTCATATTTGTGATTCGTTTATTGTAGTAAATCAGGATAATGGTTTTGTCGTTAAAATTGTTTCCCATTTTGTTATGTTGAAGCCTTTTATAACTAAATTGTAGGTATAAATTTTACTCATTAGAAAAAGGCCGTACGATGACCTATAGTTGTCAAACCCGCTTCATTTGGAATCTGTTGGCTAATTGTCTGGAATGCAATCATTCCACATCTCCTTACTTCATACTAATGATATAGCATAGCATTTGCAATTGTGTCAAATATCCTTTGAGTGCTTCCTGTATCTGATCTGAAACAGATCAATGTCCATTTCCTCGAGTTGGTTAGTATGTTGCTGCATGGTGATGGTTTACATTATAAATTGTGTTGTTCATGAGTTTTTATATGCCTATTTAAGGTGGTACCTAACACTACAGGGAGATAACTCTGTAAAAATCAGCTAAACGTTTTAATTACGTTGTATTATTAAGGAAATATTAAGCTTCTCAATGATCAAAATTAGTGTTTGTCAAACTGCTATATAACCAATGAAAATTTTCTGATAAAGTGGTTGGTTCAAATTTTTTGAAATTTTTATATTTTTGTCAAAGGGTCAAAGTAAGCATTTTGTCAAAATTTTATGAAAATTAAACGAGCCAAATTAATATTAGTCAAGGTGTTGGGTACCACCTTAAGAAATGATTTATCATACAAAAAACGAATAAGACAACCTATTTATTACGAAAACAAAAATCGATATTTACCTCAAATCTTAAAATTTTGCTCTTTACACATTAAAGCCATATTTGTTTTAATAGTGGTACTTATCATGTTTTCTTTAACACATGTTTAATAAATCTATTAACAAATGCCCTTTGGTTTTTGGTTATTTGATTTAAATTTAAAAATGCACCTAGTTAGAAATTAAACTTGTCAGTGTCCAATTTTAATAAAGCTGTAACAAACATTAATCTGATAACGATTACTAATAATGACATTAATTCTAGTCGCATGTTAGTCTTAGATACATGATTTTTTAATTGGTTGATATTGGCTTTGAATTAGCTTTCGGTAACAGCGAGTACTCTCTGATCTGTACTAAGTGTCTTTTTTATTGTGTTGATGTATAAATACCTGCCACGTTCAGTCTGTGTTTTGTTAGTTATTATTGTGATTTGTATCGATCGGATGAGTTAGGACTTTTAGTGTTTATTTTTTTTTTCGGATTTTAGGATGAAGGTGCAAATATTTATGAAATTCAATCCTTTGACCTTGCAGTTAAAAGTGCTATTGGACCCTTTGGTGGCCTTCGTCTGTTGTCTGCTCTATGGTCGGGTTGTAATCTCTTTGACACATTCCCCATTTCCATTTTCAATTTTATTCCATTCTCAATTTTATTTCAATTTTTTTTTTCCTCTTTTTTTTCTTTCTATGTCAAAACTTATCTTCTGTGGCACACAGCATATTGTATCAGGTAATACACCCGTATATGGGTTTTCCCTAAAAGTCAATATCAAAGAATAAAAAAGTTATGTTACGGACAAGAAAATCTAATGTCGAAAGTCAAGGTCCTGATGATACGTCACACACAATTTCATTATACATACAATACACCATTATTGTATGTATGCCATTAGTCAAAAGACACATTATTTTATCTTGAACGAGAATATACAAGAATAAGAATTACTTTTACTTCACATACAACACAATGTCGTCGTCAAAAGGGCAATAATTGTGTTATGCATTATATGCCCCCTTTGACGACGACATTATGTTGTACATGAAGTAACAGTAATTCGTCTAATTTGTTGACCTTTAATTTCTGAATTTGCAGTATGCAAAACTCAGACTTTGCTCCTGGGTCAGTATCATTCTTTCAGATTGGTCTATAGGTAGCCATGTGTCAATCTAACAGAGGCAATGATTATAAAAAATAAATGGCTGAACACCCAAACATCGAAATGGCATTACCTCAATACTGAACTACACAACAGCAACTTACATACATGTAATAGTCCCGCTATGAGGACAGCTCTAGTTTTGAAAACTATAACAATGTATAATAGATGGATAGAAACTTCGAATATCATAAATAATCTACAAATTAGTCAATATTGATGAAATCATTGGACTTTATTATAGGAGTTATTGCCAAAAATAACGGGTTTTCCAATAGTTTTGCGTTTTTCTTGTTATGTTGAAAATTATTATAGATAGTTAAAAATTAACATATTAAAACAATATCAACACGACCAGATCTAACTTTTAATTGCCCAAATTTTCGGTTCATCTTTATAGTAGTTATTAATCTTACATGGCGAAATTACCATTATTTTTGCATCTTTGCCTTTTATCTTGAAAACTATAATAGATAGATAGAAACTTTAATTAAAATTAAATGATGAGTAGGACAAGATCTACAATAGTTCAAGATTCCTGAAATCAGTCAACTCTTTATATGAGTCCTCATCCTTTAATAATAATTTTTACCAACATTTTGCATTTTTAGGAAAACTTTGGTGAATAAAGAAAATAATAAACAGTAAATATGATCATTAACAAAAAGATATAGTTAAGTCATGAATTACATTCTAGACAACAATGTTGGTGAGTAGCAGTTGTTGAAGGTGAAAATTTATCCTGGTGAGCGACACAGGCTCATCAGAGCCTCTAGTTTCATTTTTTTACCCGTAATTTCAAAAAGTAAGACAATCAGGAAGACACTTAGTCAATATTTCTTAATGAAGAGTATTGATTGACAGTGACAAGCAACTGATCAGGTGTTCCGTTCACAAGTCTATCGTATGTATTCAATAATTT